ACTAATTTGCCCAGAAGACCTCAAACTTGTGATCCTCCTGCCTCTTCAAAGTTGCTGGGGTTATAGGTGTGCACAACCACATCTGGCTGCATGTTTTATCTTTAATTATTGTTTGATTTTTAATTATTTATTACCATGAAGTGTCTATTGAAGAAGGGACCTGAGAGATAATATAGTTCACCCTTGGCACTTTACTGACCAGGAGAAAGAGATTTTTAAGTCCTCCATCAATTTATTTAAAAGCATTGTGTAAGTTCTTCTATGGAAGTCACTTGCTAACAGAAAAAAGGGCAGAGATGTTCATATCATGCCTCTGCTTTCTCGCTATCTATTAAGCTATTTATTTTGTAGTATACTGGTTTATTCAAAGCTATTGGTGAGATGACTTGGCAAGTGCTCCTGCTTTTAAGAGTTATGACATTATTGTCATAATTTAAGTTTAAGGAACTTTTATTGAGTGCCTGCTTTATGCTAGGTTCTGCACTAGGCTTTGGGGATAAAAAAGTTCAGTAAAGCACACTTTGTTTTCTTAAAGATCTAAGTTCAGTTTGGAAGAAAGATATTATGATAAAATTATGACTAATTTTGTAATAATTATTATGAATGGAGATTTGCCAAGGTTTTATTTAAGCCCCCAAAATGGGTACCTAAGTCAATTTGGGGACCTGCTTCCTGACAGAGAAGAAGCAGGAGGAAGAGTGTGGCTATCAGACTATTTTCTGTGCAACTTTACACATTCCTAATTTTATGGGACTACAAATACATAACCTCCATTCTCATTTCCATAGACAATAATTTAGCAATATATACAAATCTTACCACTTGTTTCTCCAGGAACTGATTAAAGGTACCATTGCATTGGTTGACAGAGAAAAGATGTTTTAACAGATTTTTTTTCTTTTATTGTCTGGTACTCCCAAGGACTACTGGGGATTCTAATCTGTGCAATAGGATCTTCCTACAAAGAACTTATAAAAGTCTTTTAATAATGAATAATAAAGAACAATATGTAAAACCTAATAGTCTTTGTTAATTAAGCATTTCAGCAGTGCTTTAAAATCTATTCCTAAGGGACAGGGACAGTGTCTTTTGAGTGTATTGTGAAATATCTAGTAGGCTATTCATTGGCTTTAAACAAACATCCAATTAGTGAAGATTGGAATATTGTGGTCTGAAGAGTCTGAGGAGTGTGCCTTTTTCCACCCAACATTTCAAGCATCTAAGTATCAATTGCCTTCAGAGGAAACTCACAGTAAAATAAGTTATTTGTGTACAAGCCACCCATCATAGTAGATTTGAGTTAACATTCACAGGGATTTGGAATGGTTTTTAAAAAGCAGATCTGAATCTTAAGCGGGAAAACAAAACCAGCTAAGATCAGAACATTTCAGCATCAGCCAGTATGGTCTTGTTTTAATCTCCTGCTTCTAAATACAGGGTCTTGTATGGAGTAAAGGAGAGAAGTTTGTATGCGGGATGCGGGGAATGGGAACAGCAGCTGGGAGGCTGCACATGGACAGTCTTATATCCACTTCTTTAACATTTCTCATTGCCTTCTCTTCCTCATTGTAACTTTGATTCCTAAGTCATTTCTTAGGTCCACTCCCACCATGATAGTGGAAGAGGTAGATGTCATACAAAGTCTTCCTAAAAAGCACTAGTCAGGCTCAATCATACATGAAATATTCTTTAAATTTGCTATGTCTTCCATGGTATTAGCAACATTTGCCTGTTACAGTGCAGATTTGAGAAAGCTGCATTGTAGTGTCAGGACCTTATGTGTGTTCCCTACTGGGCTGATTACTTTACGCTAATGTAGTATCCCATTCACTGCAATACACACACTTCCTATATTGATTGCATTATCTGTAGTAGTAATCACAGATATCATTACCAGGCAATTACACAAACACACATCTAAGTTAGGTAACCTGTTCTCCAACATTATCTCTCACAATGCTTAATTTTGTAATGAAGCTGATCATCCTCTTGTCCAATTAAGTGTAGCTACATATTTTGATCAAGCAAACTTAAAGCCAAGTGTATTGAATTATGTAGTAGGTAATTACTTATATATGTTAGTTACAAAGCAGAATGAGGGCAATTTAAGTATAATCTCTTTCTTATTCTATTTGAAAACTCATTAGAGAAGGTTAACTACTTTAAAAAATAGACCCAAACATGCTTTTGGATCAAATACAAGGGAAGTTAATTCCTGCTCATATAATTGGGCCGGGTGTAAGAACTAACTTGGCTATGCAACCATACAAGGACCCATGGATAAGTGACATGTCCAATACAAGTCTGTAAGGTGACCCCGAAAGATTCATTTCAGGAAAAGAACATAAATATTTAATGAGATAAGTCTATGGGCTAACCTTGGCAGTGAAGCACATTCATATTCTATTGGCTAAATGTTAGTCACATGTCCATGCTTAACTACCAGGAAGACGGAGCATTACAGTCTATCTTAGGAAAAAGAGGAAAACATGGATATTGGTGAGCGGTTAACAATTTCTACTATAAGAACTCAAAACAGAAATTTCTCCATTTCTCTAATGAGTACTTTGCTTGCTTTAGCATTATTTGAAATTTTTATCAGTTTTGCTTTTATTTACTTATTTTTTATTGTTTACATTGTGCCACATATCATATAAAATCTGGATCCAAGTGCTGCCTTTTAAACCTGTATTTATGAAAAAATTAAGGACTAGAGAATATGAAATTGTATTTTTTTAGGTTTTTAAATAATAAATTATGCTCATATTAATGTAGTGATTTTCAGCAAATTAAAGTGTAGATATATAGGTTAAGACAAAATGTTCTTTTAGGATATGGCCTAGTTTAACCTTTTTTTGGAAGGAATGGAGAAATGAATTATTTACTTCATTGTACAGGGAATATTAGTGGTAGAGTCAGATTGAGGTTCTTTCTCAAGTATAAGTATCTTTCCATAACATTGTTATCTTTTTTATAGACTGTCATATTGCTCACAAAGCATGTCATTAAATAATGTCCATCCCTTTTTAGAGATGAAGTAAAACACAATAAATTATAAGGCTATCATATATAAATATGATATAAGGCTATCATATATAAATCTATGTAAAAATAAACAACTTTCTAGATTTTCCAAACTCTTTTGAGAGCTGTAATAAGTCAGGTATTTATTAATTTTATATATATTAATAAAGATGCTCCAACAGTGGGTAATAAATCTATGAAAGCAAAATTTAACTGTATTATTGAGATGATAAAATAGCTAAAGATAAAGTTGCTTGTGTAATTATTGGTTCCATGGCCTAATTTCACTTTCTTTCTATAACAGTAGGAACTGCCCGGGAAAACTGGCATCAATCTTGTTGTACTCTAACTCATATAAGCTCTAAAGGATATTTTGGAATTATGTTACGTTTGGGGTTATCTCACCATCCTTATTTGTGTCAAATAGTAACTATGATTAATCTTGTACCATAGTCGAATAAAAATTATTACACTGACCGACATTCTTTTGTTTCAATTCAAAGAGCATACTAATTGGTTTTTATTATGAATGTTATAAATACAGCTGTAAACTAACATTCACCTGTATTTACCTCTAATATTTGTCTGTTGTATTAAGGAAAAAATAATCTGGCAAACATTTTATAAATGAAGGTAAGAAAAGACTTGGCTTCCTCCCTGTCCACCTTCCACTATACAAATATTAAAAGTTTCACCTAATTTTATGATTATGGAAAAGAACAGTATTTTCATGAGAGGATTACCAGACTTTGCTTGCTTTCATATTTTCATGTTCCTTCTGTTAAAAGTCTGCCTTTATTTAATTATGCTTAGTCTATTCAGGCTACTAAAACAAAACACCTTAGGCTGTGTAATTTATAAACAAAATATTTTTACTCATAGTTCTAGAGGCTCTGGAATCCAAAATAAAGGTGCCAAGCCAACTGGATATTTGATGAGGGCTTGCTTTCTGCTACAAATATGGTGACTAATCTCATTCATTAAGTGATTTATGACTTAATCACTTTGAAAAGACCCCACCTCTTTATACTACCACATTGAGTATAAAGTTCCAACATATCTTTGGAGGAGATACCAATATTCAGATGATAGCAATAATTAAGGTGAAAAAAACCCAGCAAACTACACTATGTCTATATGCATTGGAGAAATCAAGGCCAACATCATCTTTTAATGTACTGCTATTTATATTGCTTTGACTTCACAAGAATTTCATATGCAATCTGCTGGAGTATAGAGATGTAACAATCTTTTTGTAATCCTTTCTTTGGGTATGAGTTCTTAAAGCATAGACAGCATGTGTTCAGATAATTTTTAGAAGTTATGTTTATGTCTTTTGTAAAGAATCTGATATTGGTCCCCCAGGTGCCACAACATCTATAAGAAAAGGAAAAGGGTAAAGAGGGAGAGTCTATTTTTTTTTACATATTAAAAATTTGGAACTCATTAAAATCTAATTTTGATTTTTGTAGGTGTTACAGAAACCAATTAAAACAGATTTTAGAAATACTTGTATTATAATCTAAAAGAGACACTAAAAATATGGATTAGCACTTTAATTTCATTGTTTTTGAAAACAATATGCATTAAATATCATTACATAGAACTATATTAAAAGTAAAGGGAATGCATTGAGTAACAAAAATTACACTGTAGAAATCAATTCTTTTCAATTATTTGTTACTTCTGTGAAGGAAAAAACTTAGGGTTGGTATAAAATCTATAATTATTATCTTATTTCAAAATATGCATTCTGATGTGTTTGTGCTCATGTAAATTTTTAACTTTGTATATATTAAGAGGCACCAGCATCTGAAGTAAGACTTTGTTTAAAAAGTCACTCATTTTATTTTTATCATATACTGTGATGAATCTTGCTTTCAACCTTTTATTTGCATAAGTCAAATCTTTATTTTTTGCACTATTGTTTATCTTTTCTGCATATAATTAACATTAGCTTTCTTCTGACTGTGCAGGGCTGGCTATTTGCCTCAGAATATTCCTCTAGAGATTATCAGATACCTGTCTGAGGAGAAGGATTTTCTTCCTTGGCACGCTGCCAGCAGAGCTCTTTATCCTCTAGATAAATTACTGGACCGAATGGAGAACTACAATGTCTTCAATGTAAAAATATATAATTTCTTCTTCCTAATTTTCAGAAGATAAACTGTTTTCTTATTATCTGCTGTATACAACTGATCCTGAGTTATTTTCATTTCTTTTGCTAGTTAATGTTATCATTTTTGGCCTGATTTTCTATGCAATACGAATGACAATTATTTGAAGAAGAAATTTAATACATGTTACCTTTTGTTCTGGCCTAAAAGTGTCAATTAAGCTTAAATGCTTTAGAATTTAAGAAGGAATATACATGGCAAATCTGTGAAGTTTAAACTTAACTTTCCTGAGTTAACAGGCTCCGTGTTCACAAAGGACTCAACCTGAGTGGAGGGATCCCAAAGATCTTAACAGAATATAGACAGTTTCAATCAAGATTCTTAGTCATTATTTTTATCCAAAAGGCCATGGTGAATCCAATTCACTTCCTTAATTAACAAGGATAAGATCAACATTGAGGCAAAAGCCCATTCATAATTGGGTCCAAGGGGATACAGGAGAGCAAACAACAGATAATCCACATAGACATGAATGCATGACAAACATTTCAAAATGTTACCTGACCAGAGTTTTTAAACTCAAAGCCGAGTAAACCCAAATTGCAAGGCTGAACCTCCTAATCTGATTTAATAATCATTTAGAATATTATTAGGATTAGGTAATGCTGATGAGCTTTTAATTCCTAAATTTCTTAGCACTATGCTATTACCTTTGTGCATTATTTGTTTTTCTTTAGTTAAGAGCCTGCACTGAATTTTATAAAATTATCCAAATGCTTTATGACATACTGATTCTGCTAACCTACACATTTGGAATTACTCAAAACTGTATTGCCACGACATGAAATCTGTTTATTAGAGCCATTTAGTTGTTTGTTGGCCATCAGAATTATTTCCTGTTTTCTTGTCCTAAGCCTGCAGGAAAGGAGCTCTATCCATTTCTTTCTTTCTTTCTTTCTTTCTTTTAGTGAAAATAATCTTGGCTTGACTTTTCAGTGTTATTAGTTTTGTCTAGGCCTTTACAACAGACATGCAAAGAAATGGGTCATTACAGTTTGGGTATAATTTTATCTGCTACAGAGAGACATATTACTCTTCTCTTTCTCCTTAACACAGAAACACTGCAATGCGAAACTTCTATAAAAGTAAAATACATTTTTTTTATATATTTGTATTTTAGAATAGTGTATCATGTCAAATACCTCAATTTTTGTAAAGTTAAGAACTGCTTTTACTGTAATTTCAGTGCTTTCATTCCTTTGACAAAATTCAAGGACCACATTAAAGGGAAGAAGAGTGTATCTTACATTGGTATTGATATTTAAATACATCATTGGTTGAATAGACTGTTGACTCTGTAATAACATATCATTACAGGGAAGTAGTTTGTGTGTCTCAACTTCAACAATGCTAGGTTATTGGCTGGGCCAGCATAACAGCTTTGCATTAAGTGTACTCTATTGACATGAAATGCATAAGTATTAGATGCTCATTTTCATAAAATGTATCTACATACATTTGTATATATGTATGCAGGAGTGTCATTTTCAATATTCCTCATTTTCCTCATTTTGTTACAAAAATTGTCAGCTAAAATATTTAAGAGTGTGAATTACTTAGTCATTCAGTAGGCAAGTGTATTTCTACCATTTCAATAGTATCTTGTCCTTATTTTCTATTTTGAAATACTAAGTTGAATAGAAGTATAATAGAGTGTTGCAGTGCCTGCAATTTTACTGATATTTAAAGGTAGATAGATTTGCAATATTTTAATTGTGAATTTTAATTGTCAGGATGGAAGAATTTGAAACTAACAGTATCCTTATTTCTTCTAATCCGCCTCTGCCCCATTTAGGAATATATTTTAAAGCAAGTTGCAACAACCTACATTAAGCTTGGATGGCCGAAAAATAATTTTAATGGATCTCTTGTTCAAGCATCCTACCAACATGAGTACCGTTTTATTTTCTGATTCTCTTCTCTTCCCCCAGAACTGTACAGTAACATTCTTTTAGTACCATTATGACATTAGCAGCATGAAACTACCTTTCTTTCATTCTGCATTTTGCATTTCATTTGCCTGGGAAGACAGCTGCTGGGTAACAGTTTCTACCACACAAAGGGACTTCCTTGCTATGTTTTAATTTAAGTTCTGCCTTTATTGTGATACTGAGATCAGAACCCATGCCCCTCGTTGGAGTGATGTCTTCAGAGAAGACATAGTGTGTCGAACATTTCACTCTGTCCATTTATTTGTCTTTTACTCAACAGCCTAGGACTTCCATATCTAAAAACTATTTTTGTGTTATAATTTACTTATCTATTTATGCAATGAATTACCCTGACCTTCTCTCCAGTAGTAACACTGCTTTTTATTTCTTCTCCCTTTGATGGTATCCAGAGAACTGCGTAGGGAAGTGATAATGCTCGCATGCAGCTTTGGCAATAAGCACTGTCACCAGCAGGCATCGACACTCATTTCAGATTGGATTTCCAGCAACAGGAACAGGTAAGGTGAACTAAATCCTGTTTTTCTGATATTATTTAATGGTGCTTTCAGATGTTGGTGGATGCATTCCATTTATCAAATGGAGAAAAACAAGGCAGGAAAATGCACAGCTAAACTGTGTTTCAGGCCTACAGCTTACAAAGCAGCGGCATGAGAGCCACAGTGCACTCATCTCTGCAAAGTTTCAAGTTTTATGGTTTCTTCTGAATCCAGCCCTTCTTTCTGTATACATGTAAGATGGCACCTTATTTCAAGTGTAGTATCTCTGCTGTCTCATAAAACAAAATAATTAAATTCAGTCCAAAGTCTAAGATTCTTTATAAAGGTTGTGGCATTTATTCATAAAACAACTCCAAGTAATATGTTATCAACAAAGTAACATAACAAATGTTAATATTTAAAACAAAAAAACAAAAAGGTTATAAAAAGAGACCTTTACTCTTTCGGTGACCCTTGACAATGACCTTCCTCTTCTATCTTATCTTAGAATGGTATAATACTCAATTTTAATATAAAATATGAGGTTAAAGTTATTCAGTAGAATTACTTTTAAGCAAAAAAAAAATTTTGCACTAAATGTCACATGTTAATGAAATGAATATTAAGCAAAAAATAAAAAATAAAAAACACAGATCATTGGCCTTCCAACAACAAGTCTTTTAAACCTTTTAAAGGTGACTTTAAACTTCCAAGGGATTTTTTGTTTTTATACTGTGAGCAATGATGTCATTTTTCTCCAGCTTCTGGCTTCCATGATTAACTAGAGTCAGAGGTAAAGGAAGAGGAATTAGGGAGCATTGAGAGGCAATTCATATGGACAATGCTATTTCACGTGCCACAATGAGCTGGTCCCTGACCCGGTGGATGGGATGATCCCATGGGCAACAAATAAAGAGACTTGTTCTATATAAACATAGAGGATTACAGTCGTGTAACTTACTTAAGGAACAAGTTAGTGTTTGTCTTGTTAAGAGTCATTTAGATTTATTTTAATATATCACTCCAAATCAAAGGGTGGCTATTCTCTTCTAAAGGTCTCTGAGGGAAATCTCTCACTGCAATATTTAGTCATTTGTCATACTCCCTCACCTTCTGTAGCACTTTCCTGTTTGCCCTTTGAGTTAATTGTCTCTGGTCTTACATTAAGCCAAGAAGGAAATTATTTTATCACTATCATCTGTCGGTTGATCCATCATGTATTTGGAGACAGGGATTAAATCTGTCATCAGTCTTCTCTAGACCTAAAGTGTCCTCATTTTTTAAACTTTTACTAATGATTGTCCTTTGTGCTAAGTCTTCTGAAAACTATTCTATTAGACCTGAACACGTTGTAAGAACTTTTTTCCTTATTTTTGCCACACTCTTCAATTCTACTGCATATACTTAGACTATGAAAACAATTATTTAAAATCAATAATCCAAAATTTTATTAAGATATATATATATATATATATATATATATATATACACACACATAGAAAAAAGATGAACTATATTAATTAGAAATAATTGTCTCTACTTCCTATCTTTTACTTTTGTATAGTTTGTTTTTATTTTGCTACACACATGTGCCTTTTCTTAGAACTGGTAATTGTTTTCAACCCTTTCATGAGTTTCCAAGTGAATATATTTTTATTTACCATTTTATTAAGACCTGGTTTACACCATAGCATAACCATAACTTCTCTAGAGAGCTTCAAGCCTAATGCGAGTACCTTCATTTTTAAAATATAGTTCTGAGGAAAATACTATTATTGCTATTATTTTGCATTGGAGATTGAACCTTGGGGCACTATACCACTGTGCTACATCCCCAGTACTTTTTTAATTTTTTTTTTTTTTTTTGGAGATGGGGTTTTGCTAAGTTTCCATGTTTTGCTAAATTATGAATGTGGACTCCAATTTAAGATTCTCCTGCCTCACCTTCCCAAAATCACTGGGATTACAGGCAAATGCCATGGTGCCTAGCTGGGAAATGATATTTTTTAAAGATTCATTTATTTAAAAAAAATGATGAGCAACTATCACTATTAGGTGTTAATAGTAAATTAAAGAGAAGAGGTGTTCAAAATTGATAGAAGATTCAGTTACAGTTTTATATATGAAGCAAGAACTAAGCACAGGATAGAGTGTAAATACAACAAAGGGAGGAATTACTATCTTGGGGAACTCTTGCTCTCAGAGGGATGAGTAGGACTTTGTTAGATGGAAAGCACTGGGTTGCAGGCAGGAATGGGTTTGTATGAATATGTAAGGTAGGCTGATGGGGATTCTAAGCAGAAAGCACGTAGGTTGCTGGTTAATTTAAAAAGTATAGTCATTTTTTTCTTTTACTTGTTAACTTGAATAATCCATTGCTTCTATAATTTCCTTATGAATGAAAGTTCATACATAAGGAATCGGGTAATTTTGGTTTTGATAGCTCTGTTATTTTTTTCATGGCAAAATAAATCAGTTTGGTTCAAATGCTTTAAGATTCTTTTGTCAGTTCCTTCCTGTGTTTATATTCTTTGCTTTGTATTCTTTTGTAACTGGACAAGTATGCATGTCGAGGGAAAATAACTATGTTTACTAGGATTTGCTTAACCAAACCTATAACTTGCCTCAGTCTCACAGGTGACTTCCAGCAGCAAGGGCATATGATACCCACCAAGCTAGCTATGTGTGAAGATTAGAGGTTTAATCTGTATGTCGTGCATAACAGTTTAATGCTTAACAATAAAACAGTTATTCAATCCTATGGATCCTTGGTGCTTAGTTAAACATTCTTAAGTCAAAGAAGAAAATAACAAGATTTCTTTTTAAATGTGCCTACAGCAATAGGCCAGTCAACCTTTTTGTTTTTATTTATTTTTGTTTATCTAACTGGAACCTTAAAAAGAGTGACCTGAAAAAAATCATCTTAAAAAAAAAGCACTTGGGCTGGGGATGTGGCTCAAGCGGTAATGCGCTCACCTGGCATGCATGGGGTGCTGGGTTCGATCCTCAGCATCACATAAAAATAAAATAAGATGTTGTGTCCATCAAAAACTGAAAAAATAAAAATATTAAAAATTCTCTCTCTAAAAAAAAGGACTCGAGGTATATAGTTACTACTTATAAAATATTTGGAAAAATGTATATTTATGCTAGTAAATATAAAGAAGAGTGAATCATGGAAGTTGTGGGGGTTACAGATCTTTGGAGTGCTGTGCAACTGTGCAGTGTAATCTTTCTACATTAGAGAGAGGGTTAAAATCAGATGTTAAAATCTGGAAAATGGAACCACATGAAAGGAGGGGAAAGGAGGGATAATGGAACTAAAATGTGTAATAAAGGCCTAGAGATGGTAACAGTAGAGAGAAAAATCACAGAGTTATAGTGGATAATAAATTGAATGAGTTGACATCCTGATCCCTGTTAAAATATTCAGCTGCTCTGGTGTGTTGAATAGTAATGGTGATGTCATGCATGAAAACAGATTGAGCTTCATTCAGGTCTTGTTATGCTATGATTTGCAGACCAAGTTCAGCAGAATGACACATTTCAGAAAGGAGACAAAATACCCAGTATTTGTGGAGAACAATACCAATGGGGAGGGGGGGGGGCGCTTGAAAACATGAGCTAAGAAAGGAGCTTATGAGACCTGGTAGTATTTTTCTTTTAAAAATGAAAAGATGATTATCTTTTTGTACATATAAAAAAACATTTAAAAAAGGGATAGAAAGTGGCTTCTTTCATTTGTTAATGCAAATCAATAAGACCTGAAAAGCCTAGGTTTCACTCAATAAAATATAAGGAATATATTGCTACTGAAGATGAATTACTATTTGAAAAATCTCTGCATTCAAGCACTACCGGGTTATACAGTTAACTATGCAAAGATAATATGGCATTATGGAATGTTCTCTAAGTAAAAAATTTAAACTGAAATTAAATTTGTGTGCAAAATAATTCATTATTTTTTAAATACTGTTGAAAGATGCAACAAAAACGTTAAGCCAAAATAAGGTAAAGATTTAGCATATTTAATTGAAAGATTTACTCAGTAGACAGTTATATCCTTACCCTAACTATAAATTGAAGACTTCATCTGAAAAGTGTCTTGACTCTACTTTGAAAATATCCTGAAATAGCACAGTACTTCTACACAGTAAATGTTCTCTGAATTGAAATCAATTGGAAGTTCATTATAAAACTGGAAAAAATTAAGACCATTCTACAATAAAAATTATAGGTAGCAGAGCCTCTGTGGAGCTTTACAGCATACATAATTCATAAGCCTCACTACTCAGGCAATTAATCATAATGTTACTAATATTATTGTCATAATCAAAGCTGTATTTATTTACTTTATTGAATGTTTATTACACTTCAGGCACTAAGTGCTTTTAGCATATAATCTCACCATTTTTGTTTTCATTTTTAACAAAGACAAATCAAAAACTTATAGAGCTTATACACCTGGCCAAGATTATATAATCATTGGTGGTAGAGCTGGGCTTCCATATCCAGTCAACCTGCCCCCATCCCTAGTGCTTATGGTTCCTCGGTATACCAAATTGCCATGTTTCAAAAATGGTAGAAAAATAAAAACCACCTAACATACTTTAAGTACTCTCTGCCATGAGTATAAGAATATTTCTATGCACATCGGGCTACATGGCATAAGCCAGTGGTTCTTATACTTGACCATATATCAGAATCATCAGGGAAACCTGTTAAGTTTGTTGGGATCCACCCCTAGAGTTTGTTAGTATAGATTTGGGCTCAAGAATTTGGATTTTTTTAAACAGTTCCCAAGTAATGGCAATGGTGCTAGTCTGGGGACTACACTTTGGGAACTACTGACATGGCAAAGGTTACCATCTTCATAGTCTGAGACACTTGAGATCAAATTGAAGTTATTCTACTGCACAACCTTGGGAATGCCATTTAGCTTCTTCATCTGAAAAAACAGCAATAAAATTATCAATCACTCAGCTTATGAGAGTTTAGTGCAAGAATGCTGTGTAATACCT